AATCATTAATAATAATAATAACAACAACAATAATAATATATGGGAAAAAAGCTCATTCCAGTCCACGTTGGCAGAATTTCCTCACTGAGAATTCCTTAAACCAATGAAATCACAAACCTAGGCCAGAAAATAGTCTTAAAAAAAAAAATATATATATATATATATATATATAATGAATGGTAGCTGTCACGTAAATAAATGAAATGCATTACTATGTGCCAAGCACTGTCTCTAGAGATTTAAGTGCTCTGCATCCATCACCTTCTTCCATCCTCCTAATAGCCCATTTTCCAGATGAAAAAAAAAACAAGGAGAAGGGACAGGAAATAGCTTAGCCAAAGATGCATAGCCTAGAACCTTGGGAACCTGCCTGAGAAGGCAGCTCTCAAGCCTAGCACATTCTTCCTTATCTTCTGCTGGATTTATGACATTCATGGAAAGGTGCTCCCACCAGGGGAGGTGCCCAGGTACATGAGTCAGAGTTTCTGTTCTTAGACCAGTTGAGAAGACAGGACTTACACACACAGGCAAAGAGAACAAGTCAAGTCAAACGAACAAGTATTTATTAACTTCTACTCTGTGCCAGGCACTGTCCTAAGGACCAGTAATCCCTGACAGGCCCAGACACCAAGTGCTGTAGGAGCTCAGTGGAGAGAGGGTCTCCTGTGGGCTAGAGTGACCAGGGAGGGTTTTCTGGAGGCCCTGCAACTTGAATTGGGCCCTGAAGGCTGGTCAGGATTAGAAGAGGGAAGGCATTGCAGGCAGCACGAATGGTGTGAGCGAAGGTTTAGGGGCAAGAAGACACCAATTTTGTTCTGGGCCAAAATTTCGACTAATAATATTTTCAGACACAACGGGCCTTCAGGATTCTCTAGTTCCTATTTACAAATAATAAAATTGAAGCCACTGTGCCCTAAAAGACTAGATGGCAGAGAGGAAACAGGCCAGGAATTGGAGGCAGGGGAGCTGGGTTCGAATCCTGACTCTCCCTCTTAAGACTCGTAGGACCTGGCTTTGCAGGACTCGTTTCTCTTAGCAATTTTTAACATCAGAAAGATGCTTATGATAGAAATGACTTATCTGGATGTAACCATGTGAATGAGCTGGATGGGGGGATGGGATTATTTACAATTGAGGAAACTGAAGTGCCCAAACTGAAACAACCAGGAGGCAACTGAGGCAGGACTTAGCAAGGATGTCTTAAAGGCACTGAATTAGAGGAGCTGAGCTAAAAGCAAAACCAGGTGTCGCTGGGCATGCCTGTGCTTTTCCTAACAGGTCAAGAACTGCCTTCTAGAAAGAACCTTCTAGTCAGTTCTTTGCTCCTGCGCCCCTTCCCCCCACCCCGGTCATTGTGGTGTTGTCTAGACAGAGCAGAGTGTATCATATGGACAGAAGGCAAAGCTTTTATGGAGTTGGGCAGCTGAACATCCATCTCTTTCCTCTTATCTCTCCGACCTGTGTGTCTGTGCTGTGGAAGATTAGATTAGTCTGACAGGAGCCCTTCTTTCCCCCCCCCCCCCCCCCCACCCACCGAGCACGCGCGCATGCACACACACACACACACACACACACACACACACACTCACAGAGCTCAGATGATTATTGTAGGGATGCTGTTTGGACGCTTCATCCTAGAACAGATCTATCAGCTTGCACAGGGGTCATACGTGGAAAGAGTCCCTTGGTTGGAGCCCCAATCTGTATGCCCTGTGTCCTCTCTGGGTCTCAGTGAAAGAGGAATGACAGCATATGCTCTACCTATCTCTGTGGGCTTGCAGCTAAATTCAATAGAAATACCAGTTACTCTTTTTTTTTTTTTTTTTTTTTTGGTGATGCTGTTGGGATTAAGTGACTTGCCTAGGGTCACACGGCTAGTAAGTGTCAAGTGTCCGAGGTCAGATTTGAACTCATGTCCTCCTGACTCCAAGTTCTGCTGACTTCCAGTGAGCTCTATCCACTGTGGCACCTAGTTGCCCCTCTGTTACTCTTATTAATTAATGACCACACATAAATGAGTCAGTATTCCAAACTGGGTCTAAGTCTCCTACCCTGCTGGGCCTCTTGTAAACTGGAATATGCCATCTAAGAATGAGCTCTTCCCATCAGGGGACCCAAATGGCCCTGGCTCAGAACAGCTCTTCCAATGCCCCTGGAGAACTGACCTCTTCCCATTGTACAGGCTGGGTGCTTTGGGTGCCAAACTGTCTCCTGGTAGCCTGTGTGCCGCTCAGGTTATTTATAGCTGTGCTCTCAGAGAGGAACGTGGCTGCTGCCGCCGTGATGGCGACAAAAAGACAAGATCAGTTTTTTCCAAAGTATTTCATCAGCACCTGGGGCTCAGGGGTTGACCCAGCTGTGCCAGGGGCCGGCCCTCTCAGATAGCCCAGAGGAGCCCAGCTTTCCTGGAGGGTAGAAGGAATCAAGCTCCACCCATCAGCACTGTCCCAGGTCAGGAGGGCAAGGCCATTGCAAGCAACAGAAGGGGTCTGAGTGACAAGTGTGCTAGGGTCAGTGGAATAAGAAGGTTGGAACTGAGCTGTCAGACATTAATCAAAATGAATGAGCTTTTCAGACACCACCCACTTTGACTGGGAGGCCATAGAAAGCTGGAGTGGAATGGGAGTTGGCTGGCTCAGGGCTGGCCAGTGGAAGAAGCCTGTTGGTTTCCAGATCTCAGACTCCAGTGAGGAAAGTGGGTGCCCCTTCTAGGGAAAGCAACCCCACTAGTCAGGGGAGGTTTGGGGGGACAGGGCAAGGATGGAAGCCATATGATGGGAGGAGCAGCTAAAGAAACTAGGCCTGTTTAAACCAGAGAGGAAGAGAGAGGGGGAGTGGGGAAGGGGAGAGAGATACGAGAGCTGTCTTCAGATGTTTCAAGAAGAGCTTTCATTTCTAAGAAGAAGAACTAGAAGCAATGGGGGCGGGAGGGGGACTTGCAGAGGTAGGTTTCAGCTCAATATAGAGAGAAAATTTCTGAATAATTAGGGCTCTCCAAAAGGAGATTTAGGCTGCTTCATGAGGTAGTGAGTTCTTCATTCTTGGAGGTGTTCAGGTCTGACCACTTGTTGAGGATATTCTAAGAGGGGATCGTTGGTCAGTTATAGATTGTACTCAATTCCTCACCTGCCCCAAGGCGCGGCACGCCTCCCCATCCCCCCAGGTCCCTTCCAGCTTGTAGATCCTATACGTGAACTAGGGAGACAAAATGTCCAACCCTAGCGTGACATTCTCAAGAAAGCTTCATCCTTTATCTTATGACCTGTTCCTGGCCATCTCATCATCTGCTCCATTCCTTTGTCTGTAAGCAAGCTTGCCCATAACTCCCTGGGACAAGTAGGGCATCTGCCCTTGTCTTCCCACACTGTGCCCACTCTTTCTAGCATTTTCATGACCCAGTTGAGCCCCACTCACAATTCCCCAAGTCCTTGAGTTGCCTGGCTCTGGGATCCTGGGAAAGTTAGGGAAGGTAGGAAGCTCTGAAGGCCAGGCACTCTAGTGAGGTAGGTCTCGAGGATTTTGACAAGTTCACCATGTCGGGGTAGGCAATAAGTTTACCAACCTTTAGGCCAAATAAACCATGTCTGCTTCCTACCCTCCAGACAGAGAGACCAGCCAGTGTAGTGGCAAGGGAGACCCATCCTGGCTTTGGCACACACTGGCTATGTGACCTTGGAGTAGTCATTTTTCCCCTTAGCACCTCAAGGTCCCTATCTGGAAAACAAGAGGATTGGGCTAGATGATCTCCTAAGACCCCTTCTAGCTCTGATATTCTGTGATCTACTTCTCTTACCATTGTGCAAAGGATTGACCTTTCTATGTGTTTGTTTTGTTTTGTTTGTTTGTTTGTTTGTTTTTACCAGCTAGCCCCAGGCAAGTGTTTATTTATAAGTGTGTACCTGCCATGCTGTGTACATGAAGATGACGCTGCTGACCCGCCATCAGTAGGGCATACACACACTTTGGGTTCCAGTAGCAGAGGCGGTTTGGCCTGGGCCATTCACAGTCCCCCCTCTGTCTGTGCCTTTCCCCTCCCTCCCAAGCAACTTCGCTTTATAGCTTTGCCATATGCACTTAAGCCCTCTAAGAGTTAGGCAGACAGATAGGCAGGCCTAGATAGGTAGTGCCAAGATTAGCCTTCCCGAGGAGGAGAGAACTGAAGTCCTTAGCCGCTGGGATACTGCTTGGTATCCAGCAATAGGCCTGAGGCCCTAAATGAGGGTTCTAGTACTGGCTTTCACATTTACTGGCCACGTGACCTGGAAGAACTGACTTCCCCTCAGTTTCCTCCTCTGTAAAATAGTAAAAATAGCAAACATCTCTCTAACACTTGAAGATTTGTAGAACACTATACAAATATCTCATTTGATCCTCATAACAACCTTGGGAGGTAGGTGCTATTATTATCTCCATTTTATAGATGAGGAAACTGAGGCAGGCAGAGGCAAAATGACTTGCCCAGGGTCACCTAGCTGGTAAGTGTCTGGGGCCAAATTTTAACCCAGGTCTTTCTGATGCCAGGCCTAGTACTCTGTGCACAATGCCATGTTGCCCCAAAAATTGCCTTAGTAGGAGAAAAACACCTTGTAGACCTAAAAGCTTTAAGAGAAGTGGGAGTTGAGCTCATGATCCTGTAAGCCTCCTCACATTAAGGGACTTGCCCAAAGACACATGGATGGTAAGTTACTGGACATGGACTTGAACCCAGGCCTTCTCACTCCAGGTCCATCACTCTTTGCCCTGTACCCCGTGGCTTCTTGGTGACATGCATGCCTAGGCCTACGGACTCAGTTCATTGTTGGGGGGCTCTATTTTACCTTGGATGAAGGGGCTTAGCCAGGACAAAGCTCACCGGGCCAATGAGGCCAGACCCACCCGAAATGCTTCCCAGGTGTATTCATTCCTAAAATAAGCCAGTGGTAGAAGGTTCCCTGCGTGCCTGCAGTGTGCAACCGCCCCCTTCCCCTCAAACAGAAATCCCTCTCTTGCTTTGCCTCTAGGACCTGATTCGGAGAGATATCCTTTACTACAAGGGCCGCATCGACATGGATAAGTACGAGGTGGTCGACATTGAAGATGGGCGCGACGATGACTTCAACGTCAGTATGAAAAATGCCTTCAAGCTGCATAACAAGGAGACGGAGGAGGTCCATTTATTCTTTGCCAAGAAACTGGAGGAGAAGCTTCGCTGGCTCCGGGCTTTCAGAGAAGAGAGAAAGATGGTACAAGAAGATGAAAAAATTGGTAAGAAACCCCGAAACCCAGAGAGGACAACCAGGAGTAGACTCTGCTTGGCAAGGATGGGAGGGGGCATGAAATTTAGGTGTAAAATGTCTTATGCATATTTTCCAGTGGGGGAATACTTTCCTGCAAAGTACATGGGGGAAAAAAGAGTACATGGGTGGTAACGAGGTATGAGTCAGCAGAGACCTTGGTCAGATTCCTCCTGTGACACTTAGGAGCTGGGTGGCTTAGGGCAACCTTTCTCTGAGCCTCAGTTTCTTCATCTGTCAAATAGTCTGTAACACCTGCACTTCACCAGTGTTGTGAGGAAAACCTTTTAGAAACCTTCTAAGAACTATCAAAATGAGGCTTTGCTGTTGGATCCTATCCTGGCTCTGGCTTTGTTGAGAAGTCCACTCAGACTTAGTCAGTGGTTTCTGTGAAACGAATCATGGCCATGGTGATGAGGACCTGGCTTCTTTCCAGCTCAACTACCACTTTGCTAGGAAGCTTCGCCTGATCCCCTAGCCCCCATTGCCCATTCCCTCCCTCTTTAACAACTGTATTGAACTATCTGGCATTTATTATGTATATGCTAATATGTGCAGAATGATATCTATGTGTATACATATATGTAAACATACGTATATACACATGCATACATATACACATATATACATGCATGTACGTACATATATACAGATAGATAGATAGATAGATAGATGTGGGGGGCAGCCTGATGTAATGAATGGAGAAGTGGCTTCCGAGCAAGAATACTTAGTTTCATGTTCCATCTTGGATGATACTTTTTAGCTGTGTGACCTGGGCAAAGCACCTAACCTCTCTGAGTCCCGGGCAGCTCCTTAGACTCGTAAGTTGCAGAAGAGGTACCAGTCGGCATTGGTAGAGGGAGTTCCCTCTACCACTCAGATCCCAAGTCCAGTCTCATTCCCCATTCTTGGAAATATTCAGGTTTTGAACATAAGCCTGGAGAGTCCTTTTTGGTCTTTCCGTCTCAGCACATGGCAGTTGTGGCAGTGATGGCCCACATAAGCGTCATCTGCATTGTCTCCTTTATTGTCCCGCCTTTAGACAACTGGCAGAAGTTTTTGTGGGCCCCATTAGAAGATAAACCAAATTACTACTATTTGCCATTCTTTGAATTGTGCTTAGAATCTCATTCTCTCTTTCACACAGCTGGAGGGGAGCCTCTTAAAAACAGTTGATTATAGGATTTTTAATGTTCACAATGGCTGCCGCACTGAAAACCTGATCTCCTAGTTGCAGGCTGGGTCAATAATGTAGCAATTATCAATTAGTTTTTATTCAGTGATTGCCAACATGTGGTGTGGTCCTAGATACTATACCCAGAGAGTTAAATGGACCTAATCCCAAACCCTCTGGCTGCTTCTAGTCCAACGTAGGCCTCTTCATCCTACAGGACATTCTGTTGGTGGCATTCGCTTTCATTTTGTAACATTCAGTTTGCAAATAAAGCAGTCAGTAGGCTGTGTTTTGCTCCAAGGGTGCTTCACCTGCTCGTAAGCATGCTGCCACAAAATGGTAGTTGAACATCTTGGTTGTTGGCTCTGAATCACAGAGAGACCGATATTTAACATGAATTTTCTCTAGCTTTAAAAAATATCTTAACTCCTATTTCAACAAATAAACATATTTGGAGCAAGCTTTATAAAGAAACAAGCACATAGGTATAAATTGGTGCCTTTCTCACTAACCGAATTGTTATTAATCATGGCTTAGTTCAATCCTGGTCTTACCTGAACTCTGAGAACAGTCATGACTCCAAGACCTTGGGCCAACTTGGCATTGAAATGCCTCTGGGTTGCTTTTGTCAGTGGCGGCTGACTACCAGAGCTAATGAAAAGGCTAGCTTTAGTTTGCTTTCCTAATACTCTAGACGAGCTTGCCAAGTTCTCTCTTACTTCTTTCTCCTTTCATATGCGGGAAGGAACACAAAGAAAGCCAGCCACAGGTTGATTCTGCCGAGAGTAGACAATTTCCCAAGCCTGGACTCCACCAGTCAGAAGGATTTTCTACTTTACTGTGGGGAGAAAAGGTATTTCAGGCGGTGTTGATTGATTTTGAAAATCTGTTGGATTTCCCTTAGCAGTTGCTAAGTACTACATCTTTTAGGGTCTCTTTCTGATAGAAAAAGAGAAGATAATGTACTACCTACTAGGAGATCCTACATCACTCAGACAACCTGGAAGGCTGCTTTGGCCAAAGTGGCCATCCATCCCCTCAGGTGTCAAAGAGTTCCTCCAGAGAACACATTATCCTCAACACACATTGTCCATTGTCAGGCCCGGACTCAGCTTGGTAGGCTCTGCCTGAGCTTGTGCTTCGCTGGCATGACCTCAGAGAGCCCCAAATGCCTTCTACATCACCCGGAGGAGGCCTGGCAACAGAGGATTTGTAAAGAACCCATTGACAGAAGGTTTTTGATTTTATGGTAACTTAAATTGGTTATAACACCCAGACAGGCAGAAGTTGGGACAAAAGGATCAGCACTGCACCAGGTTTGTGAGGAAGGTTGGGAAGGCTTCCATTTTCATGGCTAATCTGCTGTACAGGCCTCAACCCCATCCCTAACATCAAAAGGAAAGTAGGTCAGCCTTGGGCAAAAGCTTGGCACTGCTTGTGGGGAGGAAGGAGATGTGTCTGGAGGGTGGGCTCCTTGGCTCTCTGTTCTGTTGCCAATGACTCAGGGCAGCTGTCTCACCACAGGTAACTTGTGTGTTTCCTCTGTTTCAGGCTTTGAAATTTCCGAGAACCAGAAAAGGCAGGCCGCCATGACTGTCAGGAAAGTCAGTAAGCAAAAAGGTAAGATCCCCTTTGGTCCAAGCTTGAAAAAATGGGTCAGCAGCAGGACTAGAGTCTTCCTGTCTGGCCTATATTAAGAGAGGTCAGCCACTTGGTGTGTGCCCTTGGAACAAAGGTTTAAAAAGAAAGAGAACGAGTTGAAAACAAACCCAATACATTAACCGAATCTGAGAGAATATGCACTAGTCCACACCAATAGCCCCTATATCTGCAAAGAGAGGAGGGAGCCACATACTCTCAAGTCTTCTCCAGGGTAAACTTGGCTAGTATAGTCAATTGTTATTGCTAGTGTTCTTTCCATTTTTATTGTTGTAGTCATTTTGTATGTTGTTTTTCTTGTTCTGCTGACTTCCCCCGGTGCTTCTCTGAATTCTTCATGTTGGTCGTTTCTTATGATGCAGATCCATTACATTCTTGCCACACACTTTGTTTAGCTAGTCCCCGATTGATGGGCATCCACTGTTATTCCAGTCCTTTGCTATTACAAAAAAAATAGTATTGCTAGGAATATTTTGGTGTACATGAGGCCTTTCTTTTGTATTGTTAGCTTCCTTGGGGTATGTTAGGCCTAGCGATATTATCTCTGGAGCAAAGTATGGACAGATCAATGTATTTTTTAAAAAAAGAAAGGAAGAAAAAAACCCCTTTGTAAACTCATTCAAACTGGGACTCAACTTACACGTTTGCTCATACTGTTAAACATCACTTAGGACAGTGCCGGACACATTTTAGGCACTTATTAAATGTTTATTGATTGATTGAACCAACATTTCCCTAGTTAGGGCAGGAAGAAAGAGACCCTCCTTTCTGTCCCCAGCTTGACCACTGAGATCCACTGTCATGTTTCCCAAGATTATGTGACTCTTAGCTTCATCAGCAGTCACTACTTTCCTTCCCTTATGTTCCCATCTGATCTCCCTTTCTTGGCATGCTTGCTATAAAAAAATGCTCTTACTCCAAGAATCTAGGATGCCAAAACCATGGAAAAAAGCCCTGAATTATTCCCAAGCCCCCTTGATTGAGGGGGCTAAATGCCTATGAATAGCCAATTTCTGATTAAGCTGTTGTATTTACTGTTTATCCTGAGCATTGTCATCTCTCTACCAACTCCTCTGGCAGAGCCATCTGCCCCTCCCCATCTCCCTCTCCAATACTGAGAGGCTTGACTAGATAGAAAAATGAGCACTGCACTTGGTGGCAGAAAACCTGGGCTCAGATCCAGGCTTTGTCAGTAGCCATGTGACTGTGGATAAGTCACTGCACTGCTCTTAACCTCTATTCCTTATCTATAAAATAAGACTCCTCCATTCTAGTTGCTACCCCACTCTCTAACTCGCACTGTCTCTACTCACAGTATCCTCACCCCCTCCCTGCTAGGTTCATTGTCTGCTGGGAAGTTTGCTCAGCTGAGCTCTCTGGGCCTACTCCTTTCCCCAGCTCAACTCTCAACTGCCAGCAATAATTCTCTCTTAAATCCATAGCTGGCTGTCTTCTCTGCTTCCAAGGGTCCCACTCCTCATAGCCACTTCCACTGACTTGCCATATCCAACAGGGGAGAGGGAGAGAAATACTCTCCCTACTCACCTCTAATGCAATGGGTACAGGCGAAGGAGTTATGCTCCACAAGGATGCTTCTTGTCTTGACTGTACCATGATTGCTCTCAAGGCTGGCAAGTTTGCTTTTTTTTTTCTTCTTTTTTTGGCTAGGCAATGGGGTTAAGTGACTTGCCCAGGGTCACACAGCTAGTAAGTGTCAAGTGACTGAGGCCGGATTTGAACTCAGGTCCTCCAAGGCTGGTGCTCTATCCACTGTGCCACCTAGCTGTCCCACAAGCTTGCTTTTTAATGACCACCACTGGCATGGCTAATCTTTAGCCAGCCAGTGGCAAGCTGCCCCTCTCAGTTTCCATCCGGGAACGTTTTTCATACTTTGTAAAGGAATATCAGTGAGTAGACATGCTTTTAAGGACCTGCCCCATTCTGGGATTTCATCCACTGCTGGGGGTGAGGAGATGGAAATCAGGCATCAACTCCCCCATCCCTCCCTCTGTAATAGTACTTAGAGCATGTGGTCTAATGGACATTATGTGTAATGTAATGGACACCAAGTCAGGAAGAGCCTGGGTTCAAGTCTCACCTCAGGACCATCCTGGTTGTGTGACTTGGGGCCCCGGATAGCTCTCTAAGACTCAGAGTTGCAGGCTTGTCACCAATCTGCATTGGGAACAGGGTTTCCTTACTGCAGGTTTCTTAGACCAATGAAATATCACCACTTTCTCCCTCCCCCCACATATACCCACAGTGATAATAATACTTACATTCTCTACCTCATGGGTAGTTGTGAGGAAAATTCTGTGATTGTGAGGGACCTGAGAAATGTATTCAGTCAGCTCTCATTTGTGAAGCACTCACTGTGCCAGGCACTCAGCTAAGCGCTGGAGATACCAAAAAAGGCCAAAAGCAGGCCCTGCCCTTAAGCATCTCACAGTCTAATAGAGGCTGGTTTTACCCAATGCCCTTGGATTTAGAGGGAAACTCTTTTTTGCTCTGAAATCCTTGATCGTAACAGTATCCTCCCTAATCAAGGAAAGCCAGAATTGATTAGGCACCTACCGTGCTCACTGCTATGCAGTGCTGGGTGATAGAGGGAAGAGGGATGTGCTGAAGGACGTGCAAGGTTTTTAGATTAGACCCCCATCCCCACACAAAAGAAGTATCTGGGGTAGTTGCAACATAAAGACAGGAGAATAAACTGCTGTCATAGCAATTGGCACAGAATCTACGTTTGATCCATGCTGCTTAATTGTGCCAGGGGCCCATGCAGCCCAGTTCTGGCAAGGTTCTGCCATGTTGGGAGAGCCTCATCTATGGTCCTAAGTCTGCTTTCAAGGGTAACCTAGATATGGATGAAGAGAAGCATCCATTTCAGAAGTCAGCACACGTGTGGCAGGAGTTGAGATGTTCAGAGACCTTGGGGCCAAGTCTTGAATCTGTCACATACTAGCTGTGTGACCTTAAAAGGCCTTACCCTCTCTGAGCCCTAGCTTCTTTATGTGTAAAATGAAGAGATGGATTCCATAACCCAACTCTAGCCATCAATGTATCTGTGACTCTGTAAGTAGTGAAAAGGGCCCAGATTCCAACCCTCCCTGCTGTTCAGTCATGGTGAGTTGCTCTTTTCTGAGACTTTGGACAGGTCACTTTCCTTCTCTGGGCCTCATGGTTATCATCTGTAAAATGAGGAGAGGATTGGATTCCATGAACCAACAGGCCCCTTCCCCTTCTTGTGTTCCTCTCTGTGTCACTTCTAGCTTTGATCTGCTGTGATGCTTTCCCTAACACAGTCTGACTCCCAGCCTCATCACTTGATTGAAACTGCCCTCCAAAGTTACCAAAGATCTCTTAATTGCTGAGTCCAAGAGCCTTTTCTTGACCTCTTTGCGGCATTTGACATTGTTGAGCATCCCCTCTCTCCTCCTGGATATTGTCTTCTCTCAGGGTTTTCGTGACATTGCATTCTCTTGGATCTTCTCCTATTTGGTCACTCCTCACTTTCTTTTGGGGGCTCTCTCTCTCTCTCTCTCTCTCTCTTTCTCTCTCTCTCTCTCTTTCTCACCTCATCCTGCTTCTATAGGTTCACCTCTATGTGGATAACTGATCTATAGCCCTAGTCTCTGAGCCCTGAGCTCCAGTCCTGAGTCACCAACTCCCTATTAGACATTTCCAACTGGAATTCCATGGAGATCTCAAACTCAACATGTCCAAAACAGAACTCATCATCTTTCCCCCCAAACCCATCCCTTTTCCTACTTTGTTTTTTTTCTGTAGGGGGCACCACCAGCCTTCTAGTCACTCAAGGTTCATGAGCCCAAGGTCATCCTTGACTCTTGAAACTCCCTCATCTTTCCCTCACACCCAGTATCCATTAAGTTGCCAAGTCATGTCAATTCTACCTTGAAACATTTCTCATATATGACCCCTTCTCTCTACTTAACAAAACTACCACCCTAGTTTAGGCTCCCGTGTCCTCTCGCCTAGATCATTGCAACAGCCTCCTAATTGGTCTCCCCATCCCAAGTCTGTCCCCACTCCAGTCCATCTCACATACTTCTGCCAAAGTGATATTCTCAAAGCCCTTAATCTTGACCAAGTCACTCCCCTCCTCAAAAAACTCTAATGACTCCTTATTGCCCCCTTTGAATCTCTCATTTCCTTCCAAGCTCAGCCCAAACATCATCTCTTCCATGAGGACTTAGTTAAAAACAGAAAAATAGATCAATGTACCTTAGAAGAGAAGCAAGTAACAGAAAAAATTGAAGGCAGTTGTCCAGTGTTTGATAAAGCTGGAATACAAAGTACCCTGGAAGACAACCTCCCTTTTTAAACAAGAATTGCTGGGAAAACTGGAAAGCAGTTTGGCAAAAGGTTAGATTGAGATCAGCATCTTCCACCATATACTACAATAAGCTCAAAATGGAGGACCTGAATATAAAGGACCCACCATTAAATAAATTAGAAAAGAACAAAATCAGATACCTTTCATAACTATAGCTGGGGTTGGAGTAGGGAATGGGGAAGAATTCGTAACTGAACAAGGGACAGAGATAAGCATAAGGGATTAATAGGCTTCTGTGGCTACATAAAATTGAAAAGCTTTTGCATGAATAAAATCAATAAAGACAGACTAAGAAGAGAAGTGGTTTAGTGGGGAAAATGCTTTGCTTCAATCATATCTGATCAAGGTCTGCTATGCACGATATGCAGGGAATTGACACAGACACAGAACACCAAGAGCCATTTCCTAAAAGATAAGGAATGGAAGGATATGAATAATTTTCAAAGGAAGATTTGCAAACTATAAATGAGCCCATGAAAATATGCTTCATATCACGCCTAGTAAAAGAAACACAAATTCAAACAACTCAAAGTTCACTTCACTCTATGCCAATTGGTAAAGAGAAACAAAAGATGGGACCAGTCGGTGCTGGAGGGGCTCTGGGTAGATAGGCACACTGATGCACTCTTAGTGGAGCTATGAAGTAGTCTGACCATTCTGATTTTCAATACTCAATGAGGAAGGAAAAGTGATTCAACTATCCATAACCTTTTGCCTTGCAATTCCACTACTGGGTTCATACTGAAGGAAGTCAAAGACAGAAACAAAATATACCAAAATATTCAGAGCAATACTCTTTGTGGTAAAAACAACAGTTGGTGTCCATCAGTTGTGGAATAGCTAAAAAAAAAACCTGTAGGATGTGTATATAATAAAATTTAAATACAATCTGAAATGATGAATGTGAGGAATTCTGAGAAACATGGTAAGATTTGCATGAACTGATGCAGAGAGAAATAATCAGAACCAAGTATACATAATGGCTACAAAAATGCCAAGTAAAAGATCACTAAAAGAAAGTTGAAGTCTGAGTAATGGATGTCCCTGGTATGTCGTAATAGGGATTTCTTTGGCATATAGGTTGGATTAGATGGATGTTGAAACTGTGATTCTGTGCTTTTGTAATGGACAAACCAATTAAGGTCCTGGAGAAAAGAGTGAAGCCCTCCCTCCCTCCCAGCAGAGAGGTGGGGAATTACTAGGGTGAATATTATCAGACAGTGTCTCTGTATAGGATGCTTTCACTTAATGGTTTTCCTTTTTCACAAGGGATTTCACAAGGGAGGGTGGAAGGTTCAGTAGTAACGATGAGGAATGACTGTGATGTAAGGCATTAATAATGTGTGTGTGTGTGTGTGTGTGTGTGTGTGTGTGTGTGTGTGTGTGTACGTGCATGCACTGGACCTGGATTCAGAAAGACTTGAGTTCAAATTCGACCTCAGATACTTCCTAGCTGTGTGACCCTGGGCAAGTCACTTCACCTCTGTTTGCCTTAATCCACTGGAGAAGGAGATGGTAAACCACTCCAGTATCTTTGCCAAGAAAACCCCATGAACAGTATTGACTTTATGTGGTCCATGGGGTCACAAAGAATTAGACACAACTGAACAACAACACACATACATTACACACATACCCACACACACACATATTCTTAGGAATGTTACAGCTAAAAGGAATCTTAGTTCTCTGAGCTGAAAGGGAAACCATTACATATTACATAACCAACAAGTGATCATTTGTCCTCTACTTGAAGCATTCCAATGAGGGGTAACCCATTGCCTGTCAAAGTAGCCATTCCACTTTTAGCTAGTTATAATATTGAAAAGGTTTTCCCTCACCCATAGATAAATGGTCAAAGGATATGAACAGGCAGTTTTCTGATGACAATTTATAGTCATATGAAAAAATGCTCTAAATCACTATTGATTAAAGAAATGCAAATTAAAACAACCTTGGGATATCATTTTACACCTAGCAGATTGGCTAAAATGATAGAAGAGGAAAGCTACAAATATTGGAGGGAATATGGAAAAATTGGGACACTAATTCACTGTTGGTGGATCTGTGAACTAATCCAACCATTTTAGAGAGTAATCTGGAATTATACCCAAAGAGTTATAAAACTGTGTATACCCTTTGACCCAGCAAACCACTACTGGGTCTATTTCCCAAGATGATTAGGGAAAAAGGAAAAGAACCTACATGTTCAAAAATATTTATAGCAATTCTCTTTGTGGTAGCAAAGAACTGGAAATTGAGGAGATACCATCAATTGGGGAGAGCTAAACAAGTTGTGGTATATGATTGTGATGGAATACTACTATGCTGTAAGAAATGATGAGCTCAGTGATCTTAGAAAAAACATGGAAAGACTTACATGAAATAACGAAGAGTGAAATGAGCAAAACCAAGAGAACATTGTACACAGTAACACCAATATTATTTTAAGAACAGCTTTGAGAGACCAAGTCATTTTGACTATTTTAAATACCCAAATTAATGACAAAGGATCTTTGAAGGAAGATGTTGTCTGCATCCAGAGAAAGAACTGGTAAATAGAAGTATGTATAGTATAGATTTACAGCTATGTGCATATTTGTGTCTAATAGTAGCCATCTCTAGAGCAGAAGGGGGGGGGAAGTTAGATAATAATTTTATTATATATGTAAAAGGAAAAGCAAATTGTACATAATAGATTTGAAATTTCACATGCAAGCCTTTGTTTTTCTATTCACTTTGTTATGGAAATGCTTGTTTTATTTCTTAAGTTCAGATTAAAAAATAATAATATTTAATTAATTATTTTTTTTTAAAAAAGGTTTTCCCTTACATTAAGTCTCAACTTGCCTGCATGAACCTTCTACTCATTACTCCTAGCTGTAGTCTTTGGCGCCAAGCAGAACAAGTCTAATCCTTCCACCTCCCATCCTTTCAAATAATTGAGCACAGCTACCAGGTCCTCATTGAATCTTCTCCTTCTGCAGGTTAAACCTTTCCCATGTTTTCAACCAATCTTCATGTGGCATGAGCCCAAGGCCTTTTGCCATCCTGGTTGCCCTCCTTTGGCTAATCCAGATTTATTTATTTTTTTATCCTTCCAGAAATGCAGGGCCCAGAATTGAGCGCAGAGTAGAACAGGATTATCACCTCCATTGATCTGTATCCAACTGCATTAGCTTTTTCAACTGCCATATCACACCATTGACTCATTAAGCTTGCGGTCCATTAAAATCCCCAGGTCTTTTTCAGATAAAGTGTTATCTAGCCTTATTTCCTCCGTCTTGTGCTTGTGAAGTTGATTTTTCAAACTGAACCATGAGATGACATTTATCCCTGTTTAATTTTACCTTGTTAGATTCAACCCATTGTTCTAGTTTGTCAAGCTTCTTTTGCATCCACCATGTTGGTTCTCCCTCCAAGTTTTGTCCTCTCTGCAGATCTGATCGGCCTGCCATCCATGCCTTTATCTAAGTCATCCATAAAAATGTCACAGAGAACAAAGCCAAGGATCAGTCCCTGGGACCTTCCTTACTTCAGGTTGACATCAGACCATTAATGATTCATCTTTGGATCCAGCCATTGACCAGTTCCAAGTCCACTCAAGTGTACCTAGCCCTAATCCAGGGGTGGGAAAACCTGTGGCCTCAAGGCCACATGTGGCCTTAGTCTAGGTCCTTGGGTATGGCCTTTTGATTGAGTCCAAGTTTTATAGAACAAGTCCTTTTATGAAGGGAATTTGTTCTATGAAGTTTGGATTCAGTCAAAGGGCCGCATTTGAGGACCTCAAGGGCCACCACATGTGGCCCTCAGGGCCAAAGGTTCCCCACCCCTGCCCTAATCTCTCCCTTTTTCCCAACAAATTTTGTCAAGTACTCTGATAAACTCTAAGCAAATGTCTACCAGAATTTCCCTGATCTACCTTATCAAAAAAGGAAGTTGTCTGACATGGGCTGTTCTTAAAGATGCCTTACTGCCTCTTTGTGATCCTTCCTTTTTAAAATGCCCCCCTCCCATAATTTTACAGAGGAAAAAACTGAGGCTCAGAGAGAGCATGTGACTTGCCCAGGTTACACAAGATCCAATGATACCGGCCTTCTGGCTGTTCCAGGAACAAGACCTTCCATCTCTTGGCTCTGGGCATTCTCTCTGGCTGTCCTCCATGCCTGGAATGTACCCCCTCCTCTCTGACCATTGACCTCCCTGGCTTCCTTTAAGTCCCAACTGAAATCCCATCTTTTACAGGAAGCCTTCCCCAACCCCTCTTCATTCTAGTGCCTTCCCCATTTTAAATTATCTCCTATTTATCCTGTATAGAGCTTGCTTTGTATATATTTGTTTGCATGTTGTCTCTCCCATTAGATTATAAGCTCCTTGAGGGCAGGGCCTAGCTTTTGCCTTTTTTTATTTTTTTTATTTTTTATTTATTTATTTATTTATTTTAGGCAATTGGGGTTAAGTGACTTGCCCAGGGTCACACAGCTAGTGAGTGTCAAGTGTTTGGTCTGAGGCCGGATTTGAACTCAGGTCCTCCTGACTTCAGGGCCGGTGCTCTATGCACTGTGCCACCTAGCTGCCCCTTGCCTTTTTTATATCCCCAGTGTTTAGCTTAGTGCCTGGTACATAGTAGGTGATTAATAAATGTTTATTGACTGACTGATTAATCCTAGAGCTTAAGCTGGAAAGGACTACAGAAAACAATTAGTCCTACCCTCTCATTTTATAGAGGGGGAAATAGGTCTGGATAGTGGAAGTGACTTGCCTAATCTTAGTTCCAGTATTTGAACCCAGACCTTCTGATTATAAGCCAGGTGTTTTCATCCCTCTGCCATGGTGCTTTCCTTGGCCATCACTGCTTGGATAGATTATCTGGAGGTAGACGTAGTCTATTGCAAAGAATCCTGGCCTAAGAATGAGCTAGCTGACTTGAGTTAAGTCCTGGCCATTTCATCCACTCATTGTATGTCCTTTCTCCTCTCTGGGTCTCAGTTGTCTCACCTGAAAATAAGTTTTCATCCCATAGGGAAGGGAGGGAATAAGCATTTATATAGTGCTTACCATGTGCCAGGCACCGTGCTGCCACGAGATGACAAAGATTGGAGATGAGAAACCGTGCTACTCACCAGCTGCGTGATCTAGGGCAAGTCACTTTTCTCTTGGCCTCACTTTACTCTTCTTTAAAATGAGCATAAAATGGATGGTCTCTTGGCACCCTTCCCCACTCTGATGTTTTATGGACCTCAGTTGAGCGCTAAAAAAGGCCACTTACACCTAAGTTACTACTTTGCATGAAGTCAGGTCTCCAGTTGAGGACAGCATCATGATCTTCGGACAGCACCGTGATCTTCGGACAGCACCGTGATCTTCAGACAGCACTGCAATCATCCGTGGAGCTCTTCACCATAGACAGAGGCAAAGCAGAGGAGCTTTGAACAGGCTACTAATTGAATTGAATTGCTCTTCTCCCCTCCCCTTTTTTTCTCCAACATCTAGGTGCCAACTACTCCCGGGCTGTCCCTCCGGCGTACCCGCCACCCCAGGACCCAGTGAGTCAGGGACAGTACTTGGTGACAGACGGCATCACTCAGTCCCAGGTCTTTGAGTTCTCGGAGCCCAAAAGAAGCCAGTCGCCCTTCTGGCAAAACTTCAGCAGGTTAACTCCCTTTAAAAAATAGCGTCCAGTGGGAAATGTCAGATTTTAAAAATAAATAAAATTATATTTCTAGATGGACCTTTTTTTCGGAGAAGCACTGTTGCTATTAATATTTCCATGCATATATATATATATATACACACACACCCCCTGCGTATGTATATATGGAGAGAAAGAGCGAGAGAGAGAGAGAGTGAGAGAGAGATAGAGAGAGAGAGATGTATTGTAGGACCAAAAATGAGTTTTCCCATGTTTTGGGGAACAAGAAAACCTGTTACTAGATAGGAAGATGTACCAATGATTTCTAATCATGTGATCCCACCTTGCTTTTTTCTGTTCTCTCACTCTCTTTCTTTAATTTAAAAAAAAACAAAACAAAAAACAAAAAACAAACAAAAAAAAAAACCTTGCCTTTTCTTGTGTCCCCCAAATGACTTTCTGGTTACCCTGTGGTTGATTCACTGATCTGTCTTTTACAATCATGAATGTTGTTGTGTTTTGATTTTTTTTTAGACATAAACGATGATGATTTTCTTTGCTGTAGTTGGGTTTAGGGGATGGGGTGGGAGATTCTTTCTCCTCCTCCCCCCTTTTAATTTGTCTTTGGAACCGGAAAGTGTGTGGGGGTCAGCCCCTTTCCTTCTCCCTCTGCCTCTGGCGAATGTTTCTGAAGACTCACCCACCCCTGAACAACATTTCTCCCAGCATCCTCTGTTCTCAGTCGTGCTAGTCAGGATGTGCTCTATTGTACCCTGTGACATTCCGCTAGGTATTTCTATTGCTTTTACTATTTTCTATGTGTTCGGGGGGAGGGGGGTAGTCCCACCAAAACTGGGGGAACATCAGGGTTTTCTGATCTGGAAGATGCTTCCTATCCAATTGGCTTCTGTGCATCTTTGATTCCCCTCTCTGGGCCTGCTGGGTGGCCCCAGGATGTTGCAGATGGAGAAGGTACTGGGGAGTGGGGTGGGGTCAGGACTCCTTCAGCCCCTTGCCTTCTTCTTTGGACTCACTGGTTTGGTTGGAGGGTGTTTTCCCACCCTGCCCAGTGCAAAGTCTTTTTTCTGTATGGTTTCTAAGCCGAGGGCTCCACCCTCTGGGGGCAGGGCTGTTGTACTGTGTGGCTTCACTCCTCCTTCTTCAGCGCTAGTTAAGAAGGGTAGCACCTGCTGTTAGACTGAGGAAAGGGCCCAGCCATGACTTCCCCCCCATTTGTGGGCTGTGGGGGGGCAGCATAAGAGCTGGGAGGCAAGCTCCAGGCCCTTTGCTGGTCAGGGATAGCTAGTGACTTCTGGGCATCTAGCCTGCTGCTCACTGGCCTAGGGAAGGCCTGAGATCCAAAGCTGCCAGTTGCGAAAGATCAGGGAATGATCTGGACAAAGTAGGGGCCTTGGCCAAAGTGAATTAGTTGCAATAACCTATCTGGAGGGGCAGGAGCTGCAAATGTACATTTGGTACCAAATTGCATGGACAATCACACCTTCCTCCTCCCTCCTTCCTTCCCTTCCCTTCCCACACTTTCTTTTCTCCTAGATCCCTCTGCTCTCTCCTCTCTGTATCTCTCTCTCCCTCTATCCTCCTCACTTACTCTCCCTTTCCTTTTCTCCCTGTCTGTATCTCCCTTTCCCTCTATTCCTGTCTTCCTCACTCACTCACTCTCCCTTTCCCTTTCTCCCTCTCTGTATCTCCCTTTCCCTCTGTCCTCCTCACTCACACTCTCCCTTTCCTTTTCTCCCTCCCACCAATATCCCTTTCCCTCTCAGGAAGTCAAGTTTCCATCAACTGACACAGCAAATCTTTACTGAGCACCTGTGTGCCCAAGCCTGTGCTGGGCACTCAGGGAAACTGAGGCAAGTAAGACCTGGTCCCTGTGCTCTGGGAGCTCCCAATCTAGTTGGGGGAGATGGAGAGAGGAGAAAAACATGAAGGACTCTATTAGACTCTGGGGCAAAGAGAGAAGAAGTCCATCCCAAGCCCAGTATCCCTGCTGGTCTAGGAAATCAGGAGTAGGAACCTTGACTTGGCTTCATTCAAAGAGTTATTCCAATTTTGGAGGACCCAGGTTCTCTTCCTTTGGTTTCCCCACTGGGAATATGGCAGGACGCTGTAGGCCAGTAGCCAAGATGCGGGGAAATGGGAAGACCTCACCACAGCTCAGTGTCACCAGGGCTGAGGAGATGGCTTCCTAAGCTTGAGACCCTGAAGCTCCATGGCAGCTAGGAGAGAAACATGAGATTTTGATCTGGAGTGGACCTTAACAGTCCAGCTCCTTTCCACCCCCATTTTACAGATGAGGAAACTGAGACCCAGAGAGGGTCCTCTGACCTGAACCAGTAGTTAGTGTGCTATACAACAGCTGTGTTAGGGGATGCTAGTACAGTTTGCCTGGTTTAACTGTTCTGTGCCTTGAAAGAGAGCAATGACAGGGCATTGTTTGGTGAAGGGGATGCTTGTCACATCTCTGGTCCACATCATGAAGGTAGCTGAGCCTGACCGGGCCACCCACAGTCAGAGCCTGGCATCTTCTTTCCTGAGAATGCCCCTAGAGAGCAGAGTTTGGCAACCTCTTAGCTCCTCTGTGTAGCCATGGCCAAACCAGACTGGAGCCAAAGTAGAAAGCAGGCCGGGGTGGGGAAGGGGGTGCAGAGACTGATAGTCATGAAAAACAAGAGGCTGCTTTTGTATGTCCTCGCGAGGTGGCTCCCACCTCCTGAGGCAGGGGGTGAGGGGCTGATGCAATGTCCTGGGTAGCCCAGTTCACCCAGATGATCTGAGCAACTGCAGTTTGTTCTTCCAGATGGATTGAGCAGTTTGGGCAGATGCTCAACTCACTTCCCTTTTGGAGGTATGAGGGGATAGAGAACCCGGCTTGTCCATGATGGTGGGCCAGCTAAGAATGAGCCTCCCCACTCAGGACCTGCCCACCTTACTGAGGCTGTCAAGGCCCCAGTTCCCTGTTGAGCCATCCCCACCCATACTGCCCTGCCCTTCAGACTTCTGGGTCAGGGGTTATCAGCCCTGCCATCATACCTGTCCTCACCCCTACCACCCCAGGTACTTTCAGCCATTTCTAGCAACTCACTGACAGTATTGATTTGGCTTTTCTTTCTTTCTTTTTGCACTCTAGGGAGGGCCCCTGGGCCCGTAGTGATGGAAATGGGCCAGCCACTGAGCCAAAGGGGGTTGGGCTAAGCAGCCTGGCTGTGAATGGGCTGGGCTAGGCCAGGCCCAGTGCCCATCTGGGAATGGGCCAGCTGCTGTGGTGAACGTGGTCTTTAGGAAGCTCTCTCCCAGTTTCCCCAGTACCGCCACATTCCTCAGCCTACTTAGCTGTCAGTTCCTGCATGGCGTCAGTTGACCTTAGCTTTTTCCTAAGGAGACAGGAAGAGAGTTCCTGAGCTGAGTCCAGTTGGGTTCTGTTTCTTTTCTTTTTTTTCAGTAGGGCACTCTGGCTAGGTGGGGAGGGAGGGAGGGAGGGTGGGTGGGTGGGTGGGAGGGAGGGGGCCTATAGCTGTAACTCCAAAACACCTACCTAGGGCTCCATCTTGAATGCAAATGTCACTGCCGTCGAGAAGGGGAGGTTGGCCGGGCCTAAGCTGGAGCCTAACAGTGACATTTCTGTGCTCTTGGGAGGTGGCTGGGCTGGGCTGGGCGATGCTGGTTTGGGCCTCCCCAGCTGTGTGCATCTGCCAGTTTCATTCTTCTGTTTATATCTGACTGTTTGACCCTATCCAACAAATGTCCAAGTTGTGTGTAAAAACAAAAATGTGTTTAACAAAAAAAAAAAAAGAGAGAGAGAGAGAAGTGTTGTGAAGACACTCAGCCTTATGAAAATATTTATGGAACTAAATAAAAAGTCAAAAGATATGCCTCTTAAGTCTTTTTTTTTTTCATTAATTTTTCATTAATTCCAAAACAAGATCGAGAGCAAAGAAGGCACGCTTTGCACTGGGGTCCCATGTGCAGGGACACCTGCTCCTGTTTTCCAGACATGGCTGGGAGGTGGTCAGGGGGCAGCCTCCCAAGCCTCAGGTTTGACCTGGCTTCTCTGCCAGTGGCACCCAGGCAGGGAATGGAGTCTCAAAGCCTCACAGTGCACATACCTACTGGTTACCCCAGCGCCTAACTTTGCCCCAGCTTGCAGCTAGAGTTGAGCCCAGCGTGGTCTCTTCCCCTCAAGACTGGGCTAAAGCTGTCTTGTACTTCTCCTCTCATCCCCCTCAATGCAGGCCTAGCCCTCCTTTAGGGCCTCCCCATCCCTGCCCAGAGCTGCCTTTCCAGACTTCCCTCCCCTCCTTTGTCCCATGCCCCATCCACTGAGCATACTGCCCTCTGAAGTCCAAGGTGGAATAAATTGGGCAAGCTTCAGTTGAGTGGTCAGTGGAGGTCGAGGACCTGGGTTTGAGGCCTGCCTCTTCTTTTCCCTAGCTGTGTGACCAAGGGCGTCATTTTCAACTCTGAGTCTCAGTTTCCTCCTCTGTAAAACTAGGCAGTTAGACTAGAAGCTATCCAGTACAATCTCCTCATTTTACAGTGGAGGAAACTGAGGCCCAGGAAGGTGATATGTCCAATGTCATACATAGGACCCTAAGCCTAGAGTTAAAAAAAGACCTCATAGACCATCAAGTCCAGTCACTGGAGGAAACTTGAGACCCAGAGAGGGGCAATGACTTGCCCAGAGTCACACAAGTAGTAAGAAGGCAAAGCCAGGATTTGAACACTGGTATTCTTGAAACCATATCCAGCACTCATTCCAATGTACCATGAGGTTGCCATAAGCCAACCTTCTTATTTTACAAATGAGGAAACTGAGGTCTAGAGAGGAAATGTGACTTAACACCCTCCTGAGTTTCATTAGTTGCCACAAAAGGAGCAGTAACCTCATCCTAAGACATACTCTACCTCCAAACTCCTGGATCTCTGTTTTCCCCTGGACTAGACAACCTCTTATGTGTGACTTTGTGCAAGTAACTTCCCCTATGGGCCTCAGAACTAGCTGCCCTCGAAATGTTTGATTTGATGAACCTACACTCCTCCCTTGCCTGCCCCCTAGTGCAGGCACAGGCTGTGAG